AGGGAACAAAAAAGAGAGAGAGAGAGAGAGAGAGAGAGAGAGAGAGAGAGAGAGAGAGAGAGAGAGAGAGAGAGAGAGAGAGAGAAAGAGAGAGACAGAGGTGTAGCTTCACCGGAGAAGAGAACTAAGGAGAGACGAACAAAACTCTGCTCATACAGACAATCTTGAGGGGGAGCACCCAGCTATTCATAGTGAACTTAGCTTCTGAGAACCAAAGACAGAAGAGTTCAAAAATCAAGGTGCATCAGCCTTCTGCTATCTGATAATGGCCCCTGGCCATGCAACCGCTCGTATACACGCAATCTTGTCACTCGGGTACTGACAATCCCGGTCGCCACGTACCAACCTCCAAACCACATCGATCGTCACCCCGCCAACTCAGCCTTTGCACCAACTTGCCCAAATCCCGCAGTTCATCGCGGTCACCCGACGCACAGTCGTGCATATACTGGAGTCGGCTCGTCAGGACTTTCCAACTCGCTACTTGCACATTATCTAGCCACGACTTCCCGAAGCTGGCAGATGGGTTGAGAGAGAGTTTTTCGGGCGCGCTTGCGGGTTTTATAGTTATGAAGAGGGGAATGGAAGATGGAGGAGAGTGAGGTGGAGATAGGAGGGGGTGAGGAGGGAGTTTGGGTTGATCGCCCAGGGAAAGCCATATCGATCCCCGTGAGTTTCTTCGCAGCCAATCAAATCACAATGCGCGGGGAGTATTCTCCTTACACGACGTCGTCTGATGGCTTCGAATACTTTGAGGGAGATTCATAGGGAGTTCTGGTATGGGGATGAAGGCGGGAGAGTGTGAAACGTAGCGCGGAGCGGGACCAAGATTCATATGAGAAGAAATAAGGGCGAAGCGTGAGAGGAGAGGGGATGGAAAACAATTACGGGTGAAAGAGAAAAGGCACGAGGAGGAGGAGGGTGAAGATGGCATGGGTCTTAGCGGGAAGTGGGGAAAGCTTGCATGCATGGCGCCGATGCATAAAAGAAAAAGGCACCAAAAGAGTTACGTTCTATCCATTTTGGTTATAAAGCTAATTCAAGATTGAAAAATTCAAATGCAATATCAGTGCGGGGAATTGAGCACACAGAAATCCTACATCTATCCATCTTCCTACTGAAAATTCACAAATCTTTCAAGGGTGAGTGCGGGAACATCCATTTGCGAGAAAGGACACGTCAGCGGGGAAAGCGCCCGTAAGTTTCAGAGTTCCTAACTGTCGAGCAAAATTCTTAGTGCGCTTGCGAAGGCGCGTGTAATTCCTATGTCGATGCATGGATTGCTGAAAGGAAATTGCAAAGAAATCCAAAAGAAGAGTCGCCTTAGACATGAGAGGGTCTGGTTGGCCCGCGATTCCATGCACTGAGGAGATAACAAAAAGAAGGGGTACCCAGAAAGAGCCCAAGAGAAATTCGAAGAGTCAGAACAACAAAAACTCGGGGCTTCAGAAGATCATTCGGGTATGGAAGCTGGTACATCACATACCCACCAAAAACTGAATTATTCACATGTCTACCTTAGAACAGAAGGGAGGTATTGCCTTACCCTGGTGCAAGTTTTGTTGCACTGCTTTCCCAACACACAAGATTCCAGAGACTATTGAATACATTTTTTTGTAATGTCAAGGAGCGATCTCGCTTTCGAGATGGTGGGACTGGATCTGGAGTCAGTTGGGTACCTTTCAACCTTGACCCTGGGATTGGAAGGCATTGCTATGTGAAACCTGGCAACCAGACCAGATTGATACCTTTACACAAAATCTTTTTAATGACCCACAGGACATGGGCACCTAGGCCACCGGCCTGACACCTCAAATTCTGGAGGCGCGAAACGAAAAGGTGACCATCGATCGAATTTATCAACGGCGGGTCCAGCGTTTGACGTTTCGGCCTCGTTTTCTTATGGCGACAAGTTTCGGACTCCAAGGCTGGGGCCGTGTACTTGTAGTTTAAAACTCGTAGGAAAGTTCTACTTTGGGCTCTTTGGAGGGGACATTGTACTTATGAACAGGAAGGCACGTGACTTGACGGTCCTGAATTGACTGACTCGATAAAGCAGCAAGTTTATCGCTACTCAATGGGAGCAAAATAAAAGAAAGAATCAAATATCCTTAACACTCTTTAATTCAATAGCGGGTCTCACGCAACGCTCCCGCGAGATCCCGCTTTTCGCTGTTGGGAAACGCGGTGGGACCGGCAGGCGGGCCCGACAAATACCGTGTGAGATCGTCGGGGCAGGCCGAACCGGTCACCGCCGTTGGGATTGTCGAGCGGGCTCGGGTAGGACGGCCAGATAGAAGTTTTTCCCCGAAACTTCTATCTGGCCGTCCAACCCGGGTCCGCGTGGCAATCCCAACGGCGGTGCTGCTTCGTGATGCTCATTGCATGCGGTTCGCGGTGTGGTGCTCGCTGCGGACTATCTGGCCGCCCAACGCGGGTCCGCGGGGCA